GACGCTTTGTCCCGATCACCTCTACGATGTAGTGACAAGTCGCCGTCTTCGCCTGCCCCCGACGTATCTGCACTTAGTGTCAGCGACATGCTACAGGAGCAACGAAAAGATCCTTGGATCGCTTCACTTATCAACTTGTTTAGTCGAGCTCCCTCGCAAAATATCTCTAGAGGTATGCGCCGTCAAATACAGCACTTCGTTATCAGAGATGGTTTGTTATACAGACGGAATTATCTCTCCGAAGGACGCCAATGGCTCGTAGTCATTCCCAGTCGTCTCCGCTCAGACATATGCGCATCCTTTCACGCCGACCCACAATGCGCCCATGCTGGAGTGTTAAAAACCTACACCCGCCTGTACCACCGCTACTACTGGCGTGGAATGTATCGCTTCGTTCGTCGCTACGTACGTTCCTGTCTCGCTTGCCAACGCCAGAAGAATCCTACTGCAGGTTCTCCAGCTCCACTACAACCCTTACCTTGTCCTGCCCGACCATTTGACCGTGTTGGTATCGACCTGTATGGACCTCTTCCGATTACACCGGCTGGAAATCGCTGGGTAATCGTCGCTATCGATCACCTTACGCGCTATGCAGAAACTTTACCACTCTCTTCTGCATCAGCCAGTGACGTCGGTCGTTTCATACTGCATCAGATCATTTTACGTCACGGTGCACCACGTGAACTCCTGAGTGACCGAGGCTGTGTGTTTTTGTCGGACGCCGTCGAATCGCTTCTCAAGGAATGCCAAGTCATTCATCGCACCACCACCGCGTATCACCCTCAAACTAATGGCATTACAGAACGATTCAACCGTACATTAGGAGATATGCTGTCAATGTACGTCGCAACCGATCACACCAACTGGGACAGTATTCTCCCTTTTGTAACATACGCGCATAATACTGCTGTCCAGACAACCACTGGTTTCTCTCCATACTTCCTCCTTTATGGTCGCGAGCCCTCTTGCACGCTAGACACCATCCTTCCTTACCACCCGGATGTTGCTGAGTCGACGACGATGTCACAAGCTGCTAAATACGCGGAAGAGTGTCGTCAGCTTGCCCGCTCCTTCACAAGTGCTGAACAGCAACGACAGAAACACCACCGTGATAGCCCGACGCCTCCGGCTTCTTATGCACCAGATGACCTTGTCTGGCTTCGCATCCCTTCAACCAGCCCTGGTCTCTCAACGATACTGACATACAAGTATGACGGCCCTTACCGTGTGGTTAAGCAAACTTCACCCGTCAATTACATCGTCGAGCCGCTAGAGCAGCCCCATGATCAACGACGCCGTGGACGTGAGACCATCCACATAGACCGCCTAAAACCGTATTATGATCCCTCTATTGTCTCCTGCCCATGAGTCGCCAGGATGGCTCTTTTCCGGAGGGGAGGAAAATGTAGTGAAGAAGATGAGTGCTACTCAGAAAGGCAGGGGGTATGACTCAGTCGGTGAAGAAGACGACGTTTGGTTGGCTGGGGACTCAGACTGGTTCCGCCATTACCACTTGCCGTGTCGTGACCGCTCTCTTGTTTTATAAAAGAGTGCCACTCTAAAACGCCTCACTCATTATAATATATATATATATATATATATATATATATATATATATATATATATATATATATATATATATATATATATATATATATATCGTGCGTGTGTGTGTTTAGTGTGTACATATAGAAGTTAAATTTCTCAAAGCTAGATGCATCACTGCCTGCCTACACTTCTGACACTTAATAATAGAACTATACTTCGCCATACATTTGCTGGCTTGCAATGGCGTTACGCCAATAGATTATCTGGAAAGCAGCACAATTTAAGCTGTCGATACAAAATGAGAACTGGTTACAATGAATTTACGCAGATTAGCAGACAGGCTATATATACAATTGGCACTTTTTAATATGCTTCTGTGTTTCTTTATTATGTTCAATATGTAATAAGCCTTTTAGAAAGCAATAACTGGTTACAATGAATTCACGCAGATTAGCAGACAGGCTATATATACAATTGGCACTTTTTAATATGCTTGTGTGTTTATTATGTTCAATATGTAATAAGCCTTTCAGACAGCAATAATCTTCCGCAAAACTGGCATGATAAAATTGAGTCGTCACTGATATAAATGTCGTAACAGCGTTACTTATACTCGGGTTTCTCGTGAAATGATCGAGAGCATGTAGGCTCATATAAGGAACACCGTGCTCTGCATATCGTAGAGACTGCCGACAAAACGGGCGTATCATTTAATAGCTGTATTGATACTTCTCGTCTCTTTGTAGTTCGCCAGTAGCCACTTATGATGTAACGCAGCTCAAAGCGCTGGTTGAGTGAGAAGCTAGGCGGATCCGTGCAAATTCCGATTGATTTTTCTTTTTGCTTTGTGGATAGGCAGGCTCTTCAAGCAGTGAATGTATCGACGCGATTTCAGCGTCCCTGCATATTCACTCATGCACCATGGCGCGTAGCAGGCGCGTCCACTGATAAAAGCTCAAAAACGCATTATACGCGCTAAAAACGAGCAATTAGACGCTTTCGCAGGCTACGGCGCACCCGCTCTCAATGAAGACGCTCCTGAGATCTTCAGTACCATGGGACAACAGCGCCGCCGCTACTGTCATCCGCCGCAGAATCAGCCGAGATGCGGCACGGCCACCTCGTTCACTCCACTGCCCCCGTCTAGCACACTGTAGCCTGGCGGCAAGTGGCCGAAACGAGAAAGTGTGGATACGGCCGGGCTAGACTGCACCTGCGCGCGCTTCTTTCCTTACGGCCTTCTCACCCGTCGCGAATACAAAGGGAGAGTTTATGAGTATATTTCGCCACCCGTCGGCGGTAGGGGCGCAGCGACCCTGACGTGCCTTTATATTTCAGCACCGTTCCAGCCGTAGGGAGCATACATGTGCGCGCGTCTCCGTGTTTTAGGTATAGTGTTCTAGAATAAGGGGTAGTGAGCCCACTCTACGGGGAGAGGGTACGTTGCCGTGGCGCAAAAAATGTCAACGAGTTTTCGTTTTCTTAAGTGCCCGCATGGCGGCGCTACCATCGTCAGCAATGGGAGTTTTCACCTTTTCACTCCGCTTCTGTGTTGGCTGTGTGTCGTCGTCGCTGCAGGTTTACGGGCGAGCAGTGCTTTGTCAATACGTTCCATTTTTCAGTTCTTATAGTTGTGAATATTGTAGATTGGTAGTGAACACCTCGCGGTCATCGACACTTAGTGCGGAATGGCACCACGTCGCCAGAACCATTGTTATGCGCCCGGATGCCAGACGGGCTACGTTCACGTGAAAGGTGCTCCAAAACCGTCACTGTTCGTCGTCCCCAGGGATGAGAGACTCAGAAGACTGTGGGAGAATAATTTACACCGTGCGGACAAGCCACTCGAAGACACAAGTGCGGTTTGTGAACTCCACTTCGAGCCTCGGTACGTAATTCGCGATTATGTACACACCATCGGCGGTAAAGAAGTGCGGATCCCACGCGGGAGGCCTATGTTGAGCAGTGACGCTGTTCCCACTATTTTGCCAAATTTGCCATCGTATCTCACCAAAAAAGCAGTGAAAGAAAGGCCGTCTCGAAAAAGGAAGTCTGAGAGTCATGCTTCGCCAGTGAAGCGCCGGCTGTGCACGAGTGGCAACTCGACGGTGTTGCACACAAACGCCGTAAATACTCCGGATCCAGACGCTGCAGCATCGAGGCCAAAAGACGAACAGCTGGCCATCGATGTAGAAGTTTCTTCTTCAAAAAATCCGCAGGAAGACCACAAGTCTATGTCGTTATTTAGCTGTCTTGAGGTACCATCGCCGCACTGGACTAAGCACATCTTTCCAGATCACAAAGGCATTGTGTACTGCACGTCCGTGTTGACACCAAAGAATGAAGTACGATCGGAAAAAGTGGTCATGTTTTTTGAGTCACGCATTGCGAGCTACTGCAAAGTGTTCATCAGAGGTACCCTGTTGAAAGAAGGCACCGTGGAAACAGAGGCAGCAGCAGAAGAAGTGCTGAAAACAAGTGATCGTATGTGCATTTGCGTTGGAGCAATATTTCACGAAGCCTATGAAGAACGATTTTTTACGAAGAAGCTAAAGGACCATGTAGTTACATACAACGAAATGTACTTCAGCATTAAGTGTCTTGGCCAGGTTGATAAAAAAGGTATTTATAATGTGCATTTTTACTAGTATGACAGCTATAACTCTTGTCGCTACGAAAGATTTCTTGCCAGTTATTGCAATCTAATTCACTGCACCTTTCTTTCAGGTGCACAATGTGTGTCTTGCCGTTATTTGAAACGAACACTGCAAATCCGACGAGCCTGGGTGAAGCGAACAGCAACAAGGAATTGGCAATATGCAGCGCTGAAGTTGCGTGTTGAGGCCAGAAGAAACACTAGATTGTTTTCTCGCTTGAAAAGTGTGAAAAAAAGCTGGAACAAATGCAAATTAGGAATGCTGCTATAAAAACAGAAACTTTAGAAGCACAGATTGCAAGGCTTCCACCAAGACAGCAGGAAGCTGTACGACAGTGCTTTGCAGCTTCAAGAGTAAAACCCAATGGGTTGCGCTATACCAAAAGCTGGGTTTTAGATTGTTTAACCATGAAGATGAAGAGCCCTCGCCTGTATGAACACCTTCGTCGCAATAACATCCTAGCCCTTCCATGTAAATCAACCCTGCAGCGCTATGTACATGCACACCGCACTGTGTTTGGCTTTAGTGAGAGAGTTCTAAAGCAGCTAAAGGAAAAGACAGCGGAGCTTGATGTTTGGAAGAAACACGGTGGATTGGTCATCGACGAACTGAAACTGTCAGAACATTTTTCAGTGAAGTCGGGTGCAATTGAGGGTTTTGTGGATTTAGGTCCATTTACAACTTCCAAGGACAAAGGTGTACCATGTGACCACGGTATGGTTATCCTTTTCGTCCCATTTCAAGGCAAATGGAGTCAAGTTATTGGTTACTTTGCTACAGATGGAAACATGAAAGGTGACACACTCGCCAAAGTTGTCATTGAAGCAACCATACTAGCTGAAAAGAGTGGGCTCTTTGTGGATTTTATTACTTGCGATGGTGCAAGTTGGAATATAAATATGTGGAAAGTACTTGGGATCCAAGCGACAGCTGACTCTACTACTTCGAAAATTGAACACCCCAGTGATGCATCACGGCACCTATATTTTATATCTGACTTCCCACATCTCATCAAATGCCTACGGAACTCGCTGCTGAAGTCTGGATTCAACACCCCTGCAGGTCATGTAAGTCCGATGTTTTTTACGCATATCACACATTGGATTTCATATATGCTTACATTATCTCCAAGCTTAACCAGGTGCATTTCAATATGGTCCACTTAATTTCATTGCAGGTTGATATGCAACATGTAAGGGAAGCTCACAAAATAGACTCCTCCAACGTGACCCTTAAAGTGATGCCGGGCATAACACGGTGTCACCTGGATCCTAATGGATTTGAGAAGATGAGGGTCAGCTATACCTTCCAGCTTTAAGGGACAAAAGTCCTCCAAGCTTTCCACCTATACAAAGACAAGTTGGAAGCAACACTTGGAAGGATGGATGTAACACAAGAGTTCTTCAGGTGAGTCGTCTCTTGTCATATTGTCGCAAAGACACAGGTACGCAGGTACAAAATAGGGCGTTTACTTTCGTAACCTAAGGGCCAGAAACGCGAACACCAGGGCACGCGCTCACAGAACTACTTCGTTGTCCTCCTCAGAGGCTGGCTACTATAGTTGCCAGCCTACCTTGCGTCAATTCCCCCCTTTCAAGAGCGACCGTCCCGGTCGATTGACTGAGATGCTAGAGCTGGTCATGAAAAAAAAATGATCACGTCAACGAAAAAAAAAAGCCCACGCTGTTGTGGATAATAAGGAAAAGTTCGAAGTGTTCATAACTCTCGGGCGTGATACGGTTTCATCCGTACTACATGGACTACCTCTGGATGTGGACGTCTTCGGTTTAAACTGGTGTCGGAGCTTTGGGGAACTACCTCGTAATTCACGTCACTGAGGCAGCGCACAACTTCGTAAGGGCCAAAGTAGCGTCGCAATAGCTTCTCCGAAAGCCCACGACGTCGAACTGGTGTTCACACCCATACATAGTCACCTGGTTGATAGTGGACATTCCTTCGGCCTTGGTTATAACGGCGAGCGTCGATATCTTGCTGCGCGCGAATGCGGTTCCGTGCAAGCTGGCGGGCTCCCTCGGCTTTCTCGACGAAGTCGTCAACGCTGTCATTTCCGCTGGTGTCCTGGTCTACGGGGAGCATAGCGTCTAGCGGTGTTGTGACGCGACGGCCATAAACAAGCTCGAATGGTGTTAGGTCTGTAGTCTCTTGCACAGCGGTGTTATAAGCAAACGTGACGTACGGCAAAATTTCATCCCACGTTTTGTGCTCTACATCAACATACATAGATAGCATGTCGGCCAGTGTTTTGTTTAACCTCTCCGTCAAGCCGTTCGTTTGGGGATGATAAGCTGTTGTTTTCCGGTGGTTGGTGTGCGTCAGCTTGGTGACTTGTTGCAATAACTCTGCCGTAAATGCTGATCCGCGATCGGTTATGAGAACAGCAGGTGCACCATGGCGCAAAACAATGTCGTGGACAAAGAATCTGGCGACTTCAACTGCAGTTCCCTTAGGCACAGCTTTGGTTTCTGCATAGCGAGTCAGATAGTCGGTTGCGACGATTATCCACTTATTTTCTGAGGATGAAGTAGAGAAGGGACCAAGAAGTTCCATTCCCACTTGCTGAAATGGTGCTCGAGGTGGATCTAAAGGTTGAAGGAAACCGGCGGGCTTTGCGGGTGGAACTTTACGCCTCTGACAGTCACGGCAGGTGCGGACATAGCGCTGAACGGACGAATACAGCTGTGGCCAGTAGTACTTCTGTCGAATGCGCGCTAATGTCCTAGCAAAGCCTAAGTGACCGGCCTGAAGGATCGTCGTGGCACGCCTGCAAAACTTCCTCACGCAGTGCCGTTGGAACGGCGAGGAGGAAAGTTTCCTGGCTGCTCTCAAGATTTCTCTTAGAGAGAACATTGTTCTATCGGCAATACGTTGTTAAACCACGCGAGAGCCGGCGTGGGACGATAACGTCTTCTCCTTGAAGATGCTGGATGACAGGAAGTAGCTCAGTGTCCTCACGTTGAAGCTCAGCCATCCGCACCACATCGACGATGCCAAGAAACGGTAAATCTTGTTCAGTGTCAGATGACGTCGGGGAAATAGGAGCACGAGACAGGCAGTCAGCATCTGTATGCTTATGTCCTGATCGGTAGACCACCGTTATGTCGTACTCTTGAAGGCGGAGGCTCCAGCGGGCGAGGCGGCCTGATAGATCCCGTAGATTGGCAAGCCAACAGAGCGAATGGTGGTCACTGACCGCTCGAAATGGCCGGCCGTATAGGTAGGGTCGAAACTTGCTAATGGCCCAAACGACTGCTAGGCACTCTTTTTCGGTGGTAGAGTAATTAACCTCTGCTTTTGTGAGACTGCGGCTCGCGTAAGCGATTACACGCTCTGCGCCGTTCTGCCATTGAACTAGAATGGCTCCGATTCCTACGTTGCTGGCGTCTGTGTGGATCTCGGTGTCGGCAGTGTCGTCGAAATGTGCCAGCACTGGAGCTGTCTGCAGTCGATTGCGTAGCTCTACGAAGGCTTGTTGTTGTTCTTCCGTCCATACAAAAGGCACATCTGGCCGTGTCAGTCTTGTAAGAGGTTCCGCGATTTTCGAAAATCCTTCGACAAAACGGCGGTAGTACGCACAGAGTCCGAGGAATCGCTGAACAGCCTTTTTGTCTCCAGGACTAGGGAAATCGGCAACGGCAGCCAACTTCTCCGGATCTGGTCGAACACCCCGCGGGCTCACCACGTGGCCGAGAAACTTGAGTTCTTGATAGCCGAAGTAGCACTTTTCGGGCTTGATGGTAAGGTTCGCTCTCCTTATAGCAGTGAGGACACTTTTTAGCCTTGAAAGATGCTCGTCAAACGTGCTTGAAAACACAACGACATCATCCAAGTATACAAGACACGTCTGCCACTTTAGTCCAGCTAGTACAGTGTCCATCATGCGTTGAAACGTGGCGGGAGCGGAACAGAGACCGAAAGACAGCACTTTAAATTCGTAGAGCCCGTCAGGTGTCACGAATGCGGTTTTCTCACGGTCGCGCTCGTCAACTTCAATTTGCCAGTACCCTGACTTGAGATCTAATGATGTAAAGAACTGGGCGTGGCGTAGACGGTCTAAGGCGTCATCAATCCGTGGCAGGGGGTAAACGTCGCGTTTTGTGACTTTGTTAAGCCGTCGATAGTCGACGCAGAAACGTAGTGTGTTGTCTTTTTCTTTACTAAGACAACAGGTGACGCCCACGGACTTGTCGAGGGTTGAATGACGTCATCATTCAGCATTTCTTGAACTTGACGCTTAATCACCTCTCTTACCTTCGGGGACACACGGTATGGATGTTGGCGAAAAGGCCGCGCCGACTCCTCGGTAACAATGCGATGTTTTGTAACGGTGGTACGCTGAACTTTCGATGCTGTGGAGAAGCAGTCCGAGAATTCCCTCACAAGGTTTAGCAGCCGTTCTTTTCGTGAATCTGGCAAGCCTGGATTAACGTGAATGCGGCTTCCCAGGTCAGCACAAGTTTTTGCATGCGGTGAAGTCGTAACCAATGTGCCGATATTGGAAAAGTCGGCGATTTCACTGAGGAAAGCAACAGTAGTGCTTCTAGGGACGTTCTGGAACTCATTGCTAAAGTTGGTCAGCAGAACTCAAGAGCGTTTATTCTCTAACCTAACAAGGCATCGGGCTATGCAGATGTTTCGTTTGAGCAGCAGCGGGATATTTGCCTCTGCAATACCTTCATAGTCGTTGAATTCATCAAAAACGTCGCAGGCTACCAAGGTCAACACGCTACTCTTCGGCGGTAACGTGACGTCATCGTCAACAATTCTCAAAGCATTGACGTAACTGCCATGAGGGTTGCGCGCTAAAGCGTGTGCCGTAGAAAACGTTAACTGCGACTCTTGCAAATCAATCACGGCTCCATTATCACGCAGAAAGTCCAGTCCGAGAATTAGGTCCCTCGAGCAGCTCGGCAGTATTACAAAATCTCCGAGATACGTAAATCCGTGAATACTGACTCGCGCTGTGCACCGTCCCACCGGAGTGAGAAGATGGCCTCCTGCCGTACGTATCTGCGACCCAGCCCACTGGGTGGAAACCTTCTTCAGCCTGCAGGCAAGACCCATGCTCATAACGGAAGTGTCTGCTCCAGTGTAAATTAGCGCCATTACTTCTTCGTCGTCCACAGTTACCGCAATGTTTGATGTCACCACTCTTCGTACCACGTTTGACTGCGTCTGTACATCTTTTTGCTGCCGTCGGTGTCGTCGTAGTGGAGGATCTTCCGTAGAGTCAGCGTCAGCGGCCTCACCTCCGGAGGTCGCTGAACTCAGTTTTCCCGACTTGCAGGACTGGGTGAACGGCGTCCCGGAGCGCCGCGTGAATAGGCTGGGCTCGGTGACCTGTAGCGAGCAGGCGACGACGAGCGAGACTCTTGCGACCGATGTTACATACTGCGACGATTCGAGATGAAACTCCCCCTATTTCCAGTGGTCGCTCGCCAGGTCGTGGACGAGGGGCATTAGGCGAAAATCCACGGAGACCCACACGACGGTATGGACATGTTCGGTAGACGTGTCCGGCTTCCCCGCAGTGGAAACAAAGGGGCCTGCGGTCGGGTGTACGCCAGATGTCACTCTTTCTCGGTCTTGCCTCGGCGATCAACGGTGAGCTGCGAGGACGGAAGCCTACCTCCATTTGCTGAGCGTGTCGCTCATTGGGGTAAAATACGCTGGTTGAACTGCACGATGGAGGGCGTCGCACGCGCACACAGAACTACTTCATTGTCCTCCTCAGAGGCTGGCTACTATAGTTGCCAGCCTACCTTGTGTCAATATGCTGGTTAAAATTAGGTAGTGAAATGTCTGATATAACCAACTTGTAAATGAAAATTATATCTTAATAGAATGCATCATTTGCACCGACATTTGGGCGAGTTGGTTTTGGTTCATAGTTATGAACGGCGCAAAACACACGAGACACAAAATGACGTCCTTGTGTTTTTCGTCATTTTGTGTCTCGTGTGTTTTGCGCCATTCATAACTATGAAGAATGCATCATGCAATGTAAACAACAAAATTATGAAAACAGCTGTTTTGCATATTTCAGCAAAATCCACCAGCTCATAAGAGTGATGACATCGCGGTTCCCTGCTGAAGCCCTCAGACCGTGTTCATCAGGAACAGCAGTGCTGCAGGATTTTCTGTCCTACCTCAAAGCATGGGAGCAGCATACGAAAGGTGGAGGAGGCTTTCTGAGCAATTCCACTGCTGCTGGCCTACGTGTGACCATTTCGAGTACACTAGAGTTGCTTGACTATCTCACTGAAAATGTTGGCTTTAAATACCTAATGACTGCAAAAACTAGCCAGGATCCTTTGGAAAACCTTTTCGGTATTATCAGGCAATCTTCTGGCAGTAATGATCATCCAACACCAACTCAGTTTTTAATTACAGTAAACTGCATGTCATTCTATGGTTTAGTTAAAGGTGTCAGTCAAGGAAACTGCGAAGAGGGCATGCTAGGTTCCTTTTTGGAAGTTAGTAGCCCACGAGACACATCGCAAAATGCAGCAGGCATGGATTTGGCAGCGAGCTCTTCTCCGAATGCGCAGGCGTTGGTTATACCTTCCCAGGACCACAGCCAGAATGTTGCGAGGAGCGACTCGAGAATTATATTTTACATTGCCGGCTACGTGGCACGAAAGTGCATTTTGAAAAGCAATTGTAAAGATTGTTTGATACTACTTACCGCGCCTGCCCCAGACGAAAGCTTTCAGCTTGCAAGGTTGACACTATTTTGTGACAACGGTGTACTCCTCTACCCAAGTGCTTGCCTATTTCGGTTCATAAAGAAGCTTGAAGACTTGTTCACGGGCTGCTTTTCTTGTGAACAACTCCATGCAGACAGCATTTTAGATGTGCTGACCATTGTGAAAGCAAGGCTTTGGCAAGAGGTTGGGTGCCCAAGCCAGGTCTCAATGCTCTCTCAAAAAATAATACAATTCTATGTTGTTACACGACTTCAGTTTTACATTAAGGGGCTAAATACAGACAGAGCAGGCAAACTCCAGAAAGCAAAGCACTTAAAGATAAGTTGCTGCTGTTAAATATTTTTTCCTTGCTTTAGAAGATTTTTAAAATTTTAATATTGTTCCTGTGTGGATTTTACAAGTGTAGGTTAAACTTGATGTATGAATCCTTTCTGAATATTCTTTTTCTGTTTCACTGACCCAAATACAAGAGAATGCCAGATTTGAAAAACAAGCAAAATAGTATGTTGCCACTCGCCACGCATACTATAGCAATAAACCCTTGACTAAGTGGCAACTCTGCTTAATTCAATTGTGAATGGTGACTTTGGTCCTTGGCGTACTATCAACAGTGCGATTAATATGATCTATGGGAACATCTGTAGATCTCTATAAAAATGCATGCTATTTGAATAGAAATGTGTCTATTATTTGTCATTTTCAGTATTTCTTCTGATTCAGTGTCTTTACTTATTGTGTGAACAATGTGTTGAGTGTTCATGTGTTTTTGTGAACTTTTTTATGCAAAGTGTGCTATTGAAAATATTTAGCATCTCTTTGTGATTATTTGTAGTTGTGAATATTTTTCTAGCATCTATTGGGCTGTTTTAGGAGACATGCTCTTTGTCGCACACACTGATAAGTACATAATGGGGCAAGGCCCTCTTCAAGCTATTTCAGCTTTTTCCATCTGCTGTCAAATTGAGAAAAAAAATGAAAGTGATTGATATGCATGGCTTTTGTGGAGTACGGTCGTTGTGCTGCCCCACCAAATAAACTTTTAACTTATTCCCGTGAACGATTGTTGTCTATATTTTTTTCCACACCTTCATTACAAATTCACTTTTATTTCTTGGGCATGATTAGGATAGGTCTTTCCTTCTGTGCACTACCACACATTTTCTTGCACTTTTCAGGAGAATATATCAGCTGGGAGCGCGTAAGGTGCTTAAGTTTGTAGTAATATTGTTTTATTTAGTGAGAGTACGACTTCACTAAAGTTACTATTGAGTACAAACGCTAGCATATTGGTGGAGAAATGTGAGCCGCTTATATGCCACTCTGCGACTTATTAAATTAGTGGTCATGAAAACATTAGTCTCTTTTATCTAAAGGCAATCGATGTCAGTGCACGTTAAAATTTCCGGAGTCCTCCACTACGGCGCGCTTCATAAGCAGAAAGTGGTTTCATAAATCAATTATCTGAAGGCAATAAAACTGCGAGAGCGCAATACAAAACTTGCTGTTTACAGCGTATATTGCATCCCGCTGATGACGCGCTCATGTTTAGCGATACTTCATGCGCCAGAACGACGGCCAAAGCAAGAATATGCTCAAGCAAAAGAAGAAAAGCAACGAAAATGGCTATGAATAGGGGTTGCACAAGAGTAGTTTGTGCTTGAAGCGCTGGCAAACTAACCTTCGCGCTGCGTTGGCCGAGAGCAGCAACGCGTCGCTTCCATTGCAGGTGGTCGCTTCCATTGCTTCCATTGCAGGTGAGACATAAAGTGCGTCAGTGCACGGCCTCCAGTCGCCCACTACCCCTTTCTAGAACACAATTTTAGGGTGGTGTCAGCCTTTGACCCACCTACAGTGTACTAGAATAGTACACTGTAGACCCACCAATTGCTGCCACCCGCTAAAACACAATGTTGCCAGTACCGATTTCAATGGCAAAAAGTGCCATGTTGCTTCTTGCGGCCAAGCGTTCCTGCGCCGCCTCTCTCCACCAATCCGGGTGTGCAATCTGCGGTATCAGAGAGAGAATTAACTTTAATAAAAGTCCTGAAGGGGACTGGGCACCCCTTACGGGGGCCAGCCCGATGGCTCCGCCCATATGGGGACTGGGAGTCGAAGCTCGCCAGCCATCTTTTGGGCCTTCTGAACGGCCTGGTGTTGAAGGGCCCTGTCGGGGCTCCTGAGGTGGTTGAACCAGTCGTCCTCGGTGGCAGGGGACCCGAAGCTAGCGTTTAGTACGGGACACTGCCACAGCATGTGACTTAAATCGTACCTTGAATTTTGGCATTTGGGGCATTCTGGCCTTATATCTGGTAGGTATTTGCTGCAGATATAGGGGCTGGGGTAACTGTGCGTTTGCAGCAGTCGAAGCGTTAATTGTTGTGCTTTATTTAGTGCTGAGTGAGGTGACGAGAATTCCTTTCTAAATAACTTGTAGTGCGAGCAAATTTCACGATATGATAGGAGTGGCTCCCGGTGCGTGTTGGTGTCCCCGGCCAGTGAGCCGGACCACGACCCCCCGCGGCACGTAAGATCACGCGCGAGGTTATGGGCCAGCTCATTACCGTTGGGGATTCTTGGTTGAACGTTGATCCCTTCATGACCAGGGAACCAGTGGATATGCTTGTCTACAGTTATCTGAACAGATGCTAGTACTCTTAATGCCGCCTGGCAAAGTGTACCGCGGCGGTATGCCAGTGCAGCGGGTTTAGAGTCGGTAAATATTGTGTCGCGCTGAGGGAATGCTAGAGCAAGGGCAATGGCCACTTGTTCAGCCTCCCAGGCTTTCTGTGTTTTTACGGTAAGAGCATGAAGAGCTTTTCCCTCTGGGGCGACCGCCACAGCTGCAAAGTAGGGTTTGTCCACGTATTTAGCGGCGTCTACGAAAACCACGTCTGTCGCGTGTAGGTTGGCCGCTTTTAGTAAGGATTGAGCTCGTGCCCTTCTTCGAGCCTGATTGTGCACCGGGTGCATGTTCCTGGGGAAGGGTAGCACTGTGATTTTAGCGTGAAGGTGTTGCGGTAATGGTTCTGATTCATTGACTTGAGTTGGGATAGGAAGACCTATGTGTGGGAGGAGTTCCTGACCCGCAGCTGTCGAAGACAGGCGTATGAGTTAGGACATTCTTTGTGCTTCGATGATTTCTTGGAACGTGTTATGTACCCCAAGGGAAAGCAGGCACTGCGTGCTTGTGGACATGGGTAGACCAAGTACTCGTTTTGTGCATTTTCGGATGAGGTTGTCTACTTAAGTTTCATCGCCTTTGCTCCACGGGTGAGCGCAGGCAACGTAGTGAACGTGGCACATTAAGAACGCATGAAAGAGGCGTAATAAGCTTTCTTCTGTGAGTCCTGCGTGTCTATTAGCGACGCGTCGGGCGAGGTGCATGACTGTCTCAGCTTTTTTGGTGAGATGTGTGATGGTTAAGTCGTTTTTGCCATTCTCCTGTAGGGTAACGCCCAGAATTCGAACCAACGACACTATCGGGATAACCGAGTCATCCATTGTGGAGAGGTGTATGGTAGGTTCGGCTTTGGTGCGGCCGTACTGTGGTGGCAGAAGCAGCAACTCGGACTTAGATGCCGATAGTCTGAGGCCCGTGGGCTTTAAAAATGTTTGTACTGCAGTGACTGCTTCCTGAAGGCTCGCTTCGATTTGTCCATCGCTCCCTCCAGTACGCCAAATAGTAATATCGTCGGCGTAGAGCGCGTGTTCTACGCCTTCGATGTGTCTCAGCTTTTGCGAAAGTTGCCTGAGGGCTAAATTGAAAAGAAACGGTGAGAGCACCGACCCTTGCTGGGTGCCGCGCGGGCCTAGGTTGTAGGTGTGTGACTTGAGATCGCCAACTTTAAGTGTGGCCGTTCTGGCTCTTAGGAAAGAGCGGACGTATTCGTAGAAGCGGCGGCCTAAGCCTGCCTCCTGAATCTCGTGTAGTATATGAGCGTGGCTTATGGTATCAAAAGCTTTCTCTAAGTCAAGAGCTAGGATTGCTCTGAGGTCTTTGCTCCTTACTCCAAGTAACGTCTCCTGCAGCATAAGAAGTATGTCCTGCGTGGCCATAGCCGGCCTGAACCATACTTGATTGAATGGGAAGAGGTGTTTTCGCTCTGAATATTTTGTGACTCGACGGAGAATGACGTGCTCCATGACCTTACCCACGCAGGATGTGAGGGAGATGGGTCGTAGAGAGTCGAGTTCTAGGGGTTTGTTCGGCTTGGGAATGAGTATGACGGTCACGGCCCTCCATTCTGGCGGGACGCTCCCTTGCTCCCAAACCTCATTCATGTGGGTGGCTAGTGATTCAATGTCATGGTCAGCCAGGTTGCGGAGTAGCTTGTTGGTGACTCCGTCAGGACCCGGGGCTGACATAAAATTGAGCTCTGCTATTACCGCGCGTATTTCAGCGCTAGTTATAGCCTGCTCAAATGGGTCGTCTGTGGCCCCCCGCGTAAGGTGGATAGTCTTCATGTGAGGTAGGTTCTGTACATAGATACCAGGCTGCTATAGCATCTAAAATCTGCGCGTCGGTAAGCTGCCGTCCTCGCGCTTTGTGTAACAGTCTATCTAGAGTTAGTCGTTGTTCTGACTTGGTGGGCTTGTCGCCGAGCAGATGCCTGAGAAGGTCCCATTTTAGACCCTTTCTCATGCGTGCGTCAAGCGAATTACACACCTCATTCCACTGATTGCGTGCTAGTGTGTGACTGTACTTTTCGATTTGTCAGTTGAGCAATGCAATTCTTTTTCGTAGCCTA